CTCCACAGTATAGATTTGAAGAGCAGCACTGAGAACAGGCAGGATAGTACGGCGAAGCTGGAGGTTTGCCAATGCCGACTTGCGTGGATGAGGGGTCAAAGAAGATGTTGACTGTGGATCTTGCAGGGACATTGTGCTGAAGACAGGCATCAGTGAGGTGCAGCAACCAAGTACCCACTTCAACTTATTGCTCCATCTACTTTCTCGGGAAATGAAAAGAGTTGGAAGTCAGATATAAATGAAGATCATTGAGGTATTAATGAGATGCAATGCAGAGAAATAAAGTAGCCACAGTTTGATAATGAGATTCTGAAGATGCTATTTAAAGGGGAGAATGGTAAATATTTTCTTGATATCGGGATTCTAATTTTTAAATTCTCATCCTAATTTTCCAAATTTTGCACCATTACTCATACCATACTATGAAAAAATTCCCCTATATCTGCATTTCTTTAATGAAGTATACCCGTCAGCTGTTTTATGATGTTACCTTTCTGACTATTAATGGCTTAAATCAACAAGGCCCCAATCTTTTAAGTGTAATAGGCTTCAAGTTTGCTTTCATTGCATTTTCTCCAGTTAAAACTTGAACCTCGACTGTAAAATAAAAATGTACATTCCAAAACACATGAGCCATGGCCTAGATATTTGTTACAGTTGTCCCAAACTCTTCCCACTTTGCACAGTATTAACCAAGCCTTGGATTTAACACAGCGAGCAGAAAGCTATGGCACAGTTCTGAATTGTAGAATAAATATTTTATGAATTAACTTACAACATTATTGTTGCCACTTTCTGTTGCTCCATAAGTTGTTCCATAGATCTAGCAGAAACAGGAACTGAAATCTAAAAGGAAAATGGGAATGTAAATTTCAACTGGTCCTGGGTCTCTGTTGGAGCCTGGAGTTTGATGCCATATCTCAAAATCTGACCTTCAACTAACATTACACCGAGAGTGAAGTTTCTGCTGTAGTTATAATTCTACTCCAATAATGCTGTTGTGTCTGTGCGAACTTACTGCAATTTAAAGTGGTGGAAATGGTTATTGGACTGGGTGAGTTCCTGAGCAAATTTAAAGCAAGTAATTGATGAAGTGTAATGAAGCAGATATTGTTGTGTTCTGAAAAAAATCCTAAACTGCGCTTTCAATCCCCCTAAAAAGGGAAGGAGCTGGGAATTGCTTTTCTCTACAGTGTGAGGATGCTTTTTTTTTGTAATTTCTTTTCCAGCTGCCAGATATTAGTTATGAATGCTAATCGCTAACAAAGCTGAGCAGCTGCTTCAGAGGGTCTTAAAGAGCCAATCACCCAATGTGGACTGGAGTCACATGTGGACTAAACAAGACTGGTTGCCGGTTTGTCTTCCCTGAAGGCTATTGGAGAGACAAATGCCATATTTGTTTACAATCTGCTGTTTTGACTACCAATTGTCCACAGCTGACCAACAAACTAATAGATTTCTCAAACTCAGTCTCCTGACTTAGCTTCTGGGGAGGGAAAACAGTTAACATTTTGAGTCCAGTGACCTTTGTTCAGAACATGGCCAGACCTGCTCAGTTTCTCCATCAATTTCTGTTTTAGTTTCAGATTTCAAGCATCCGCAGTTCTATAATGGAGGGCCTGGTTTAGGATGGGAGGGAGAAGGGAAATTACTAACCCCCATCCCCACCTTCACACCTTCCAGCAATAATTCCGCTGCCACTAGGCAGAGGTCACTGAAGTGATCAATGCTAGGGGCTTACCTTCAGGAATGAGGCTGTAATATTGCAAAAAGATCAACAACTTCAGCAGGTTGTCAGTGTGAACATAGAAACTGTTTCGCATACAAAATAGGAGCAGCCATCTGAACCTGCTCCACCATTCAATATGATCATGGTTTATCATCCAACTCATTACCCCGTTCCCACTTCTCCCCAGACCTTTTGATCCCTTTAGCCCTGAGAACTATATCTAACTCTTTCTTCAAAACATTCAATGTTTTTGCCTCAACCGCTTTCCGTGGCAGAGAATTCCAAAGGAATTTCTCTTTGGCTCAGTCCTAAAAAGTCCAGTGTGTATCCACAGACTATCAGCCTGGTTCTGGGCACCCCAGTCATCAGGAACATGCTTCCTGCATTTATTCTGTCTAGCCCTGTTGGAATTATATAGGGTTTTATGAGAGTCCCCCCTCATTTTTCTAGACTTAGTGAACATAGTCCAAACCAATCCAGTCTCTCTTCATACGTCAGTCCTGACATCCCAGAAATCAATCTGGTAAAACTTTGTTTCACTCCGTCCATTGCCAGAACATCCTTTCTCAGGTACAGAGACCAAAGTGCATACAGTACTCAATGGTGAACAAGGAAATCCAGGTCGCATTGCACCTCCCCCTTTCCCAATCTATCACCAGCCAGATCATAATCAGCCTTCCTGTTTTTGCTACCATTGTGGATAACCAACGCATGTATCCACATTATATCTCACCTACTATGCATTTACCCACTCACTGAATTTATCAGAATAGGATTACAATATAACTCTCTTACACTGTGCTCCCACCATCACCAATTACATTCTCATTCACAGTACTCCCTCCGCCACTTCCCCCCAACTCTTCTACAAGCTCAGGACCAAACTACACTGGAAAAACTGGAGGTGGCATTGTGGAGGGTTTCTGCATGGTTTTTATACTCTTTTTCCCTTATATTTCTACTTCTCACTCTGCATACTCGACACAATGAACTGTCGCAGCTTTTGCCAGCTTTTAGTTTCTGCACTCCCTTCACACCTACAGCCAACCCTTGTTCCTCTTGTTTATTTCAGATACTGTAAATGTGTATATATCTCTCCACCATGGGAAAAAGAAGAAAATAAGCCTTCCGCACTGTCATTAACTGTCACAAGCACTGACTGAAATACTCATATTTTAGAGGAGCGATTAGGGGAATGATAAATCACTGGTATCCATAAGTAGGAACTGGGATACAGGATCGGAATAAACCCCCATACACTTCACTGGATGATCACATAGGAGCGAATCTGATGCTTTAGATATCAGATTCATGGCTTGACACACCTGCTGAGATCATTAAACTTTTTCCTCAGTGCTGAGGAAGGGTCACCAGACCCGAAACGTCAACTCTGATTTTTTTCTTCACAGACGCCGCCAAACCTGCAGAGTTTTTCCAGCAACTTCTGTCTTTGTTCCTGATTTACAGCAGTTTGTTCAGTTTTTATTAAGTTCAATGGTTTGTTATCCAGCCTGCAAAGGGCATGGCGGTGATGTCATCAGACCTGTAATCTAGAAATTCAGGTTAAAGTTCTTTCTAAAAATCCCACCATGACAACTTATTCAATTTAAATTCAATTGATACATCTGGAAATAAAGCTAATCTCAATAATAGTGACTATGACTACTATCATTGTTGTAAAAACCCATCTGGTTCATTAATGCCCTTCAGGGAAGGAAATCTACCATCCTTACCTGGGCTGGCCTACATGTGACTCTAATAGTTGACTCTTAATTGGCTTCTGCAGAAGCTCAACAAACCACTCAGTGCAAAGGCAATTTGGGATGCACGACAAACGCAAGCCTTGCCACTGATGCCCACATCGTATAACAAAAATAAGAAATTCTTTCCAGCACTGCTCACCATTCTCCAGGGGAGAAAGGTAGTGTGAACATATATCAAAGAACCCTTGCGTTTGATAGTATGTTGTTGGCTTTCTTTCAGTGACAGAATCCCTGCGCAATGCCTGTAAACGTGAAAAACCACTCAATGTCAACGATGGTGGAATAAAGAATCAGAATCCAGTAACTGAGGAAAACAATCATACATTAGGCCTGTGATAAGCTTAATGTCTTGACACTGGTAAGATACTGACACTGGATAATGTAGAATGACACTAGATTTCCATAAGTTCTCAGTGTTTTACAGTTTCCACCTGAGCATAAAGGAACTAGATTAGATTTAGAGATAGTAGGAACTGCAGATGCTGGAGAATCCGAGACAACAAGGTGCAGGGCTGGATGAACACAGCAGGCCAAGCAGCAT